ACTCAAACTTGTCTGCATCTGAGCATGCGAGCTGTATGACCCTGGGAAAGTCACAGTAAAAGCTGTCTATTGTATTAGGACCACAAAAAGGCAAGTTCATAACAAAAGAAAACTGAGACATAGCATGGATCACTCCTGTTACCCAGCCAATGACTACAAGTAAAATACATCTTTTAGGGCTCATAATGTTCAAGTAATGGAGAGGCTTACAGATGGCTGCATACCTGTCAAATGCCATGGCTATGAGCAGCACCATCTCCACTCCTCCCATCATGTGGATGAAACAGATCTGTATCATACAACCTTGGAAGGAAATTACTTTGTGTTCACTTAAAAGATCGAAGATCATCTTAGGAACTGTAGTGGAGGAAACCCACACATCATTGAAGGACAGGTTGGCCAGCAGGAAGTACATAGGAGAATGTAAGTGAGAATCAGCAATCACCAAGAAGACAATAAAGAGATTTCCCAGGATGATCCCTAAGTAGAGCAAGGAGAATGTCAATGTAAGAATAACTCTAGTTTCCCAAGAACTTGAGAGTCCCAGCAGCACAAATTCAGAAACCACAGAGCCATTCAGTCCATCCATTGTTTTGATCATAAGAGCTGGTTTTAAACCACCTGCAGATAGAACATAAAGAGCCAGAATCAGTGGTTCCAACAGGTATTCCACATTTATGCTTCAATTTTTTTCTGTGAGTTGCAAAACCTAGAGTAAGAAAACATATAATTGCCCCCCCAAAAAAATAAATAAATAAATAGAAGTAATTACGTGATGAGCAGAGTAATTACTCAAATGAGACAAAATTATTAATATATTAGATTAATGAAAATAATTCTTTGTATTTTATACTCTGAGCAGACTTTTTTTAAAAGCCTCTCAATGAAATCTAGATATTTTCTTTGAACTATTTTCTAGGTGTTGTCCTAGCCTAAATAGTGTAAGGTGACAAAATATATTCACACTTTAATGCTTTTGGACTAACTTGCAAATTTTCCTGTGCTGAATTTCACATTTCACTAGTGAAACAGAGATTCTTAGGCTAAATGTGCTTAACACATTTCACCCATGTTCTGCTTCTTTATAACTTAAAATGTTAATCTTGATAAACCTGTATTAATTGTACATATTAATGGTATACTTTGTGATATTTCAATATATGAATAATTTGTGTAAGTCACTCTCCTTCTATCTACCTTTACTCTTAACTCTTTCCTAACCTCAAGTAGTAACATTTAGATAAACTCAAAGCATTTTTCTACTTATGAGGAAGAATATGTACTTTTCTTTCTGTTTCTGGCTTATTTCATTTAATATAATGTCCTCCCATTTTATCCATTTTGATGGAAATGACAAGATTTATTTTTTATGTCCAAATAGTATTCCATTGTGTATATCCACAACATATTCTTTATCCTTCATCTATCAATGGGCACGTTGGTTAATTACATTTCTGAGTTATTGTAAATAGTATAGCAATAAACATGGACATGAAAGTATTTTGTTGGTATGTTGATTTCATTGCCTTTAGATATATACCCAGAAGTGGAATAGCTGGATCACATGGTAGTTCTATTTTTAGTTTTATTGAGGAACCTTCAGACCACTTTCCAGAATTGCTATGTGAATTTACATTCCCACCCCACCAACAACCTATGGGATTGCTTTTTCTTCACATACTGGCCTCCCCTCAACGTCCTGCATTTGTTATTTTATTTAAATTTGTGGTAATAACTATTCTAATTGGAGTGAAATGTCTCATTGTAGTTTTGATTTGTATTTTTCTGATGGCTAATGACATTTAACATTTTTACATTATTTGTTGGGCATTTGTATTTCTTCCTTTGAAAATGTCTATTCATATCATTTGCCTATTTTAAAATTGGAATACTTGGGGGGTGGGTTAGTGGTAAGTTTTTGAGTTCCTTAAGAGTATAAATGTTTACTCTTTGGCAAATATTTTCTCCTACTCTGTAGATTGTTTCTTCACCACTTTTTTATTTGCTGTACAGGAGTATTTTACTTTGTTGTAATCCTTTTTGATAATATTTGCTTTTGATTCCTGTGCTTTGGATGTCATACCCACAGAACTCATTACTTATTTCAATGTCCTGAGAGTTTCCTCTGTGTTTTTTTTTCTGGTAGTTTCATACTTTGTGTCTTACATGTGTGCATGTTCTGTTTTTGATGGTACAATTTACCATGAAGCCCAGGTGCTTGAGCTGAATTTTTTCACATTTTTTTCCTGACACATTATCATCATAATCCATGCCTTGACATTAACATTCAGTAACTTATGCCTGGGAAACGAAATACCTGAAAAAAATAGGAAAAACACCCTTTTATTTAAATAATAATAATATTAATGTATAATATTTATTAGGTGTCCCCTCCATGCAGAGCTTAGTACTAAGCACACCTTTAAAGCATACAAAATTACACATATAGTCACTGTTAAATGAGGCTCACAATATCAATATAGAAACTGAGTCTTGGAGATACAATGCGTCAGGGCCAAGAATAGTGCCCAGAGGTGTAGGACACCACACTGATGCTCCTGGCCATGGATACTGTGCTAATAAGGATACATCTTGCAACTTTCCCCAAAATCTTCCAGTTGAATTTCAACTTTTTGTTTCCTTTTAACTAGCAACATAGAAAACTTTCATTTTCAATAATAAAATCTCTTAATCATGGGTCCCTTCTAATTACCTCTTGCTCTATAAAGCCTTTTTTAAGCAATCTTAAATTTTGTGTATTAAATTAGTCAAACCACCCAGTTTCCACAGAGTCATTGTGTATAAACTGAAACTGTGACTCTGGATATTTTATACAATAATTAATTTTCAGTCACCATTTCCTTTATATCCCTTCAGGATTCTATGCTGCTCTGCATGCCTTGTTTCTCTAGCTCCTTTAGCCTTTAACTTCTTGGTTTTCTGAAGATATTTCCCCTCTCTCCTCTTATTAACTTAAATTCCATTTGTTCTCAATTTTTGAAGCCAGCAGAGGTAGGTCAGGACATATGATTTTGTATGCTGTCTTGATTGTGGTTGCTTTTCCTCAGCTGTGCACTCATTCAATATTGGCATGAGATTAGAAATGCTCAATGTGATATAAACCAAGACCTTTCCTGGAGGACTTTCTTGAATGAAGGAAAAAGCTTTCATATGGTGAAGGGATCAGTTTGGTCCGTCACTTCATTCATTTAAAGTTATTGTTATTTCTAAAGTTGTAGCAACTATGATGTTCATATGCTATAAACAACAGTGAAAACTTAGAAAGAATTTAGCACTCAAAGGGCATGTTGAACTGCTTAACCAAAGAGAGCAAAACCTGTTTTTAGATTGCTTCTAGTAATGTGAAAAAAACTAGCTTATAGCTTGATCCACTGTAATCCAGATTTTCTGTTAATTGTAGCTGAATATAATCTATTTCTATGACAGCTCTCCTCAAATTTTCTACTTCATTTCTGACTTCACTATACTTTTCACTAACACATTGTAATGTTTTTCCTCTCCTCTCCCTCAATTTTGGGTGTGACTCAGATCTGTTCTATTTGTTTTATTAGATATCAGATTATCTCATTTAAAATAATACCTACATATCAAATTCTAGATCTGAAGCTTATCCTTGGAATCCAGAGTAAAATGTCTAAAATTTTATGTGGTATAAACATACACAAGCCCCACCTTGGCCTTCAAGTTAACCTGTCAAATTTGAACTCACAATCTTATAATCTAACCCAATGCTGTAATGAACATTTTCATCTTTCTCCAAGATACCCAATATAGACACTTACAGTGCTCTTATCTGTCCTTCATGTTTCTTCTTTGGGTGAACAAGTTTTACTTTCAAAGATTTCTAAATACAGTTGCCTTTTCTTCATTCAGATTGTCATTTTTTTTTCTATCAGTCTACATATTTTCCCATCTTGAAATTGAAAAGGCCACTCCTTTCATTCATCCACAGTTCTGCCCATTCTACATTGTTTTTAGACCTTTTTATTTAATTTCAAATACCATCACAGGGCTTTCTTACTAAGAGCTTGGTGTGCCTATCACAAGAATATTCCCAGAGCACATCACAGAAGACCTGAAAGGATATTGGCACAATTTTATTTCTGAGGATATATCTTTAAACAAAATCTGTACCTCCACCCCAAAGGATATATCCTTAAATAATTTTTTTTTTTTTTTGGTGATGGGGATCAAATTCAGGGTTTTGGGCATGGTAGGCAAGCACACATACCAACCCTCCCATAGACATTTTAACAAAGAAATTTATCAAATTGTTCCTGAATAAATTTAAATACTGATTATTGACAAATAATTTAAAAACTAGACAAGATTAGGAAATATTGTAACAGGATTCTTGTTATATAAGTTTAAAACCGGTATCAGCATCTACTTGTACATGTGAAATTAAGTGAAGTAAGGAAGCCTACAGCACTGTGGCTCAACAGTGTATTATGACTAGAAAACAAGATTGAATAAAACAATACCCTCTGATAAGGTGGCCAAATAATAATCATTCACAACTCACAAAATTACCTGCCTCAAAAACTAAAATCAATTAAATACAAAATATTAAATCTAATACAAAGATTTAAATCAATATTCAAAGTATTATTTAAAAATATGGTTGGAGATGTCATTTATAAATGAAATAAATGTGTAATATATATTCTTCTGAAAAAATATAAACTTTTCTGGTGCATTCAAAAATTTATTTATTTATTTTTTCCACTTTTTGTGAATCATTTATTAACTCTTGCAGAGATCTTAGTAAGGTTCCCAACATTTACATACATTTACATTACTTTAAATGATTTACAAAAGGTTTTAGGAAACAGAAATTGGCTTACATTTCAACAGGTCCTTTGAAGGGCTCTACTTCCTCTGTTCAAATGTTTAAAGAATTATCTATACTCTTTGTCTTTAAGAAGATTAACTCCTGAAGCTTACAAAGCCTTATAAGAGGTTAATAATCAGCTTGCTGATTTGCATCTTAACCAATGGCCTGGTTTGCATTTTAGCCATGACCTGACAAGGACATTATTACTATAGTTTAGACACCTCACCTATTCCCACTGGTCTTCTTTTCCAGGAATAAAGTAGCCATTTAGAATCAGTGCATCTTTCTGCTGCTTCTTTTTTTTTTCAAAATTACCCCCAAATTAGTATGTTTTGTCTATTGGTATTACAACTACACACTAGGACTCTTCAATTATTTGGGCTAAAACCTGATAAATTTGTCTTGCCATTAATTAAACAGGAAGTAAACCTCCTTTTGAAAAATAATATCCTGTTTCAGGATTCAATTATGACTTTTCCATTGGTTAATCATTTACCTCATTGCAAACCTATCCAAGATTTAAATCAATATTCAAAATATTATTTAAAAATATGGTTGGAGATGTCATTTATAAATGAAATAAATGTGCAATATATATTCTTCTGAAAAAATATAAACTTTTCTGGTGCATTCAAAAATTTAAATAAAATGTGATTATGTGATTCAGCCATGTTAATAGGTAAAAACAATCAAATTTATGAAAATAAAAATTCTCCCTTATAGTGTATGCAACAACTGCAGTGCTCATTAACTGTCCAGTGGCTGAGTTGTTACCAGGAGATGCAAATGTCTCTTTCAGAACACAGGAAAGTTTTGAAAAGGAAAAACAATGGGAATTAGGGGA